CAACTACAACCAAAGACTCTGAGAGGCAGACTGAAAATAGGATTCTTAGGAAACAAAAGTTGATGAGGGGATTGAAGAGAAAGGGATCATGAAGGAAGTCTATTAATGAGATACACTGTTGCTTCAACTGCATCTCCCCATAATCAAGTTGGCGCATTCATCTAGAAGAGTAGGCCTCTTGCCACCTCAATAACATGTCTGTTTTTTCTCTCAAATACACCATTCTGTTGCGGAGTATGAAAACATGAACTTTGATGAATTGCTCCCTTTCCTTCAAGCAATAATCGCAGATGCTTTTCAAAACACTCCTTAGCATTGCCAGACCTTATTACCTTGATATGCCTTTCAAGTTGCGTTTCCACCATCTTGAAGAAGTTTTGAACAATGGAAGGGACCTAATCTATACTCTTCATCAAGTAAAGCCAAGTATATCTAGATACTTGGCTAGAGTAATCATCAATGAACAATATAAAATATTTATAGCCGCCCATACATGGAATAGAGTATGGGTCCCAAACATCAGTGTGTGTCAATTTAAAAGCAACACCACTCCTTCTATTACTTGCAAGATATATAGTTCTACATTGTTTTGAGAGAATGACAACTTCACATTGCATACTCAAACTAGACCCAAACTGACAAAGTTTGGAAACAAAAAATTAATGGACTTAAAAGACACATGACCGAGGCGACAATGCCACAACTTCAAAGGACTCAAATTTTCATATTGACATGACTCATCTGGCCCAGTAATCCTTGCTCAGAGGTTTGATCAAAAAGGTAAACTCCATTAACTTTATGTCTAGTTCCAAACATCCTCCCCGTCCTCAGGTCCGGAAAAACACAATGAGAGGGGGCAAAGGTCACTGAACAGTTATGGGATTTGGCAAGAGTGCTAACAAATAAAAGATTCTTGTACAAATGGGGAACATAAAGGACAGAGCTCAAGGAAAGATCACGAGTAAGCTTAACCTCCCCCAAACCAGAGATAGAGATTTGAGATCCATCAGCTAAAATGATTTATCCTTCCCCTTCAACCAACTTATAAGAGGTGAAGTGGGAAGGCATACCAGTCATATGTGCATTAGCTCCAAAGTCCACAATCTAGGAGCTAGTAGGAGAAGATTGAGAAGTAAGTGCAATACCCGTTATTGCAAAAGCACTGGAAGGATTACTAGAACTAGTAAAGGCAGAGGGCCCATACTTCTCAAGCTGAGTCAACATAATCCTAAGCTTTTCCATCACATTAGAGGAATCATGTGTGGGAGCCTGTACATTAGAAGGGCAATCAGCTCCAACAATAGCAAGATGAGCATTATCCTTCTTTAGGGATGGCAATTTTCTCCATTTCTCCAATCCTCGTGGGGATCCACCCTGAATGGGGTGGAAATGGGGATGGTTTTCCCCCTCGGGGATGGGAATGGGGAAATTTTAATCCCCGTTAGTGGGGACGGGACGAGGACGAGGACGAGGAGAGCACTCACTGCCCCGTGGGATCCCTACTAATATATATGTATATATGTATGCATACGTTATATATGACTATATGTATATATGTACACATCTATATATTAATATTTTTAAAAATATGGTTGAATATGCTTGAATCTTTTCTAATAGGCTTCTAAATTTTAATTATTTTATTTTTATTTTTTAAATAAAATAAAAAACAAAAACAAAATGGTTAACACTATAAAAAATCACGGGGAATGGGGATCCTCGTGGGGACGGGGATGGGGATAACATTGTCCCCATTAGCAGGGACGGGGATGGGGAGAGGCTCCCCGTCCCCGCCCTGCCCCATTGTCATTCCTACCCTTCTTTGTAGTTTTAAACTTGTCGGGCTTCAAATGTGGATTCAATTTCCAACACCTATCCCTCGTATGTCTCGCCTCTTATAGTAATCACATACCATGTCATCATGCTTTTCATTAGTACCCTGTCTGTTTGTACTCGGCTTGGACCTTGAAGACATGTAGGCAGAATGATCCATCACTAGGGTCTGCATCATAGCAACCCTTCTACTCTCCTCTCCCTGCACTAAGGAGTATGTAGTAGCAAGGGAAACAATATCTGCACTCAAAATATGTTGTCAAGAAAAATCATACTCACCATTCAATCCATCCAAGAAGTCAAACACTCGGTTCTTCTCAACATACTTCCGATATTGTTCACCGTCCTCAGGGTTCTTCTATACCAAGTTCTCCAAATGGTCAATTTCTTCCTATAGAGACTGCAGAGAAGAGAAGTACATGGCTACAGTCCTCTCCCCTTGACACATATTACAAGCTTCTCTTTGGAGTTGGTAGACTCGAGTTGTATTTTTTGCTTGAGAGTATGTGGCTATAACACGATCCCAAATATCCTTGGCAGTGGAGAGAAACATATAATTGTGGGCAATATGTGGTTGCATTGAACACACCATCCAGGACATAACCAAGGAATTATCCTGTTCCCATCTAACAAGTTTGGGGTCATCAGCTTTTGGCTTCTCCTCTCTACCAATAGTAAATCCCAACTTACCCCTACCTCCGATAGTAAGCTTGGCTGATTGAGACCACTCTTGGAAATTGGCTCCATCAAGTTTTACAGTGGTTATCATACCACTGGAGACATCAACATTACCCGGAAGCACTCCAAAAATAGTTTGTAACTCCTTAGGCACATCCTTTTGAGTTGGGTAGGCCTTTTAACAGTTCTACAGCACTCCAACAACCAACTGACACACACAAGGCCCATAAAAGATGGGAAACACTTGATTGGAATCCAATGGGAGGCCCAAAACTGAACTGGTAGCAATATATAAGGGAAAAAAGACCTCCCGAAGAAATATTAGAGATCATAAAAATGCGGAACCACTTCTCATGCCTTTAGCAATGCGAAATAAACCAAAACCAACAAGTTTAAATCATGCATCGAACTCAGACAAGGAAGAAAAAATCCAAACATCGAACTAGTATTTTTCTATAATTTTTTATTGTAAAATCCGGGAAAAACCATAGACACATCAAATGAAGATAAGAACCACACCAAAATAACCCTAAAATCAAGACGCACCAAAGTAGATCAGATTCAAGGGTTTCCATCGGTACTTGTACAGACTATTGACATCATTTGGCAGCAGTCTGAGACTCTGACTCTAACGTCAACAGGTCTTCTTGAATTCAGAAGTTGGTAGAGGAACCTAGTCCAAGACTTCTTCCCACTCTAATACCAAGTTGTCAAGTGGAGGAAGAGGAAGAAGAAGAAGAAAGAAGAAGAAAGAAGAGGAGGAAGAAGGAAAAGAAGAAGAAGAAAATTTACAAGAGAGAATTGGGGTGTTACTATTCACACCCAGAATATTTCATTATATACTAAATCAAAAATTACAATTATGTCCCTATAAGGCCGCCCAAAATACAACTAACAGGAAAAGACAACAATACCCCTAAGCCAAATGCACATTCTCAACAAAGAGAGAGTAATTCAAAACCACTCTTCAGCCCCCAATGATCTCTTTTATTCTTTTGTTATAAAAAACAAGGACAATTACATGAGTGCCCTTAGTAGGGCGTCCATCACTAAAGGCAGCAATAACTAAGGCCTATTACCTGCTAATACAAGTCATAAACATAATTTAAAGAAAAACAAAGAAACTAAGGCCCATTAGGCCCATTATCTCTACACTAAGCACTAAAGCAAGTGAACAATTTGATGATTCCAGAAAGTACAGAATATTAGTGGGCAAGCTAAACTATCTAACTATCATCTAACCATATATCTCTTTTGTAGTCAATGTGGTTAGCCAATTTATGCAGAACCCCCAGGTTCCCCACTAAAATGTAGTTATCGGGATTGTGCAGTACTTGAAGAGAACACCAGGCTGGGGATTGCTATATAAGCCTAGTGGAAGGCTTAAAATAAAAGGCTATACCGGCATAGATTAGCTGGCTCAGTAATAGAAGATTCACCAGAGGATATTGCATTTTTCTAGGAAAAAATTTAGTAACATGGAAGAGTAAGAAACAGAGAGTTGTGGCAAGGAGCAATGTTGAAGCTAAGTATAGAGCCATTGCCCACACTACCTGTGAACTAGTTTGGTTGAAGAGCCTCCTAAAGGAGATTAGGTATTTAGTGAATAGCCCTATGAGACTACATTGTGACAACCAAGCTGTTTTTCATATTTCATCTAATCCAGTCTTCCATGAGAGGACAAAGCACGTATAGGTTGACTATCACTTTATAAGAGAAAAAGGTTCTTGGTGGAGTGATCAGTACTACACACATGAGCTTGGGAAGTCAATAGGAAGATCTGTTTACTACGGAGTTGAATCAAGGAAGAGTGGATTATATGTGTAACAAGCTAGTTGTATATGACATACACTCTTCAGCTTGAGGGGAAGAGTTAGAGATGATTAGTCAGGGTTCTTTTGGTCATTTTGTTCTTCATTTATTAAGTTAAAATTAGGCCTTTTAGTCATGCTTTAAATCGCATATCCCTTAGATAAGTAAGAAAAATGGTCTTTGTACATTGCCTGCAAAACCTATATAATAAACAGTTCAGCTGGGCTGAGTGATGAATCATTCTCTCCAATTCAACCATTCTTTTTCCTCCTCTCTTCTCTCTTCTCTCTTCTCTCTTATCCCTTCTATTTCTTTCTTCTTTTTCTATTATTCTTACCCTAGCACAGCAACTACAAGAGGATTGAACCATTGCAACACAGAAGATGAGATCTAGGTATACTGAGCCTGAACTTATAATTACTCAAACAAGTTGACTGAAGGCGCAGGCAGTAATGTTAATTCTACTTATCTCATACGGAAAAAATACAGTTATATGTACACTGAATTTAAAGCTCATTCCTTTCAAAACCAACTGTATGAAAGACAATATGGATAAGCTCAGAGCATTATATATTAATCAATACATTATAAGAAAACAATTATATATTTTGTATTGCTAAAATCAAACAGCAGGCAATATCCCAAGTGTGCGGACATCAATTTTGAAGCCAATTCACCTTCTGATGGATCAGTAGTCTGCGCTGTGGCAGGAAATGTAAAACAACCAAACGAGACAACTAGAGCAAATCCCAAAAGACAAACTTTCACTCCCACCATCTTGAAAACCTACAAATTTGACAAAGAAACAAATATTTCACATACTCCAAAGCAAAATATGAATAAATACTTCCAAGGATACAAATTTTATAAACATCCCAAGAAAAAAAAATATCCAAATTGGTTTGAGTTTGAAGTAATGAATTTAATCACCTGGGAATAATATCAACTTTCTTACTCCCACAGCTCAGAACCACCAAAGAACATATGAGTCTCAAACATTTAAAAAAAAAATGTTTTAACTAAATCCGGATAAATTGAAATCCTTTAGCAAGTTAAAAAAAATTGGTCTTCTAAAGATTAGACGCACTACAAGCCCAGAAAATGAATCAGTTAAAAGATTGCAATCATCTTTAGCTTGAACTTTAAACGCAATGAAATACTCGAAAAGCCTCTTGGAAAATAGAGAAACCCATACTAGAGACAACTCAAAGCCCTAGGATCCAATTGAATTCCTGCGGATGGATCTCCGTCAGTGTGCGAGATTTCAGCATCTTGATCGAACTTTCATCCACCGCTCGAAACTTACAAAATTGAAAGAGAAGGCTCCAGTAAACTCCGGGAAAATGATCTAGAAGTCCATTCGTGCAAGGACGATAGTGGACTTTTCTACGGAAAATCCGCTTCAGCTGTAGCGTTGTCGAGATTGTTTGTTCCATTCGAAGTGACTAACGAATAAAACCCAACCAAATAAGTGACAGGTCACACGGTATTGCTTCCTTTTTTAAGAAGAAAAGAAAAAGTTTTTTTAGTTGCAAATAGTTGCTTCGTCTCCATCAATGGATTAGATTAGGTTGTCAACTCACCAACTAACTCAACAACTCCGCGGGAAAAGAGTGTACTTATTATAGGGTTGATAGGATATAAGGGCAACTTTTGTGGTTAATTTGGAAGATTTAATAATTTTATTTTTCATTTAATATTAATTTAGAAAAAATAATTGTTCTTAATTGAATATGAATAAATATTTTTTAATAACTTTAGTTTTATTAATAATTTATAGTAAATTTAATAATTTTTGTTCTTTTTATTATTTTTAAATAAAATTTTGATTAATTTTAAAATAAATAAAAATAATTATAAAAGCTAACATTTTTATTAACTCCACTAATAATTAACAATTATATGGGAATGATAATGGGGTGGGTTCAGGCATGACACTCCATCCCTTCCCTTGCCCCATTGTTAAGACACTCAACCCCATCCATACCCCGTCTGCCCCGTCCCCAGTAACATGTGAATTCAAAGCAAGGTGACCACTCCTCAATGTCGAGTGAGTTCAGGGGCAAGGCATCCCACTCCTCATCAAGGATGGAGAATCCTCGAATTTCCCTACATCGCCCCCAGTATTGAGCGAGTTCAAATAGATGTGTAAATTGGGTCGTGCTGGGTCGGCATGACACAACCTGCATGTGACCCACACAAAGTGCGAGTCGTGTCGTGCTGGCCCATGAGGTGTCCTGGGCCATGCCTCACTCCTCTAGGATAATTTAGGGGGTCAGTTCAGCACAACCCACGGCTTGAGTCCGCACGAGCCCATGCCATGCCGTAGGTCAGGCTGGTCCACGGGCGAGGCCATGCTGTACACCTAGCCAAGCTCAAAGGCAAGGCACCCACTCCTTGTCCAAGGTTTTTTAAAATTGGACCAGATAGAGAACCGTTCTAGGGTCAAACGATCTGTCTGTCGAATGGATGACCCGCTTTGACAAAAACAAAAAATTAGAAAAACAAAAAAAGGCCAAAAATTGTTGTCTGAGTTGACGGTTCAACCGCCCATGTCAGCAGTTCGCTAACCAAATAAACAGTTTTTAGACAAAAAGTGGTTTTGAGGTGAAACGATGTCTGGTTCCCAATTTTTTGGTCTAACCATCTAGTTTGATCAAGTTTTAAAAACACTGTCCCCGTCAACCCAATATTCAATTTGAAGATAGAAATGATCAAAATGATACATTGAGTATCAACCACATGGTGAATTTCTAAAAGTACACTATTGTTTTTAATATTGAAAAATGTAATTTATGAAAATTTTGGAAAATTTATTGTAGTTGTGTAAATTTGAAAATGTAATAAAATTTATTTAAATTTTCATTAAATAATTTATTTTCTTTTTTAATGGTTTACTTACAGAATTATACTAATTTATCTTATAATTTCTAATATAAACTAACCAATAATTTCCTTTTTCCAATATTATACTAATTTATCT